GCGTTGAAGACATCGCTACGGCGCGCGCGCGCGCGCGCGCGCGAGAGAGAGAGAGAGAGAGAGAGAGAGAGAGAGAGAGAGAGAGAGAGAGAGAGATGAGCAATACAAGTTTGGTTGTCACGTACCTGTGAAGAGCGCCGTGCAGTCCCACAAAGTGAAGAGGCGGCCATAGCCGCGGAGCTCCACCACAGAGTAACGAAGGAGGAGAAAGAGAGGACAGAGGGAGGCCGAGAAGAGAGAGAACCATAGCCGAGGAGGKGAAGGGAGAGACGAGAAAAAAAAACAAAAAAAAAAAACAAAGGGAAAAAAGAAGATGGACGGGGTGAGGAAAAAAGAGGCGAGGAAGGAGAAAGGAAGGAGAAGGGTGGTGAGGAAGGAGAAGACGGCAGCCATAGCTGACCGGAAGAGTTGACCGAGCGTCGATCGGGTGTGACAAGGCATTGACCTGAGTTGACCGGAGTTGACTGGAGTTGACCGGGGGTTGACCGGGAGTTGACTGCAGCGTTGACCAAGGTGTTGACCAAGTGTTGACCACGATTTTGACCAAGTTGGAGCCGGTATAATCTCGCCAAACCTTCAGCCTATCCCCTTGCCCTATGGATGTGCACACACCCTGTGGTGCTTGCTGAGTCAAGTCTGTCTGTCTCTTCTTTCTGCATTGAGTCTCTTCTGTCCAGGTGATAGGACTCTGTGGATGAAGGATAGGGCCTTGTTGACCAAACCCACACGGGCTGAGTAGGGCTAAAGACTGTGTCTGACGACTCGACTGTCCCGGAGGACACGAACCCTCCCAAGGACCGGTACTGACCGGCGGGCTGCTCGGTGTGGCACGGTAGGCCCAAAATCCGAGCTATGGGCTGCACAACAGGCCGTCTAAGTCTTGAGGGGACCTGCTGATCGCGTCGTCCCGTCTGCGACGTTATAGAATTCCTGAGGAGTTACGGGGAATCTCCTTAAATGCTTCCTGATCAGCAACAGGTCCTGTAGTGACATCCTTAGAGTAGATCTAGGCTAGTGACCCTAGTTGGCAGGATCCTGTCCGGATTCTGTAAGTCCTTAGATTGAGTCAGTAGGTCGTGTCAGTTAAGGCGGTTGAGTCTAAGTGGTGAGGAGTGGAACCGTTCGTTGTCTGGTTGTGCACCTAGCACCATGGTTGACACCCGTAGTGGGAAGAGTACTACCCCATATACCCAGGCTCAGGAGGAGCGTGCTGCCGCCATTCAGGAGAGACAGGAGATGAAGGAGGAGGAGCTCCTCAAGCAAGCGAAGTTGAAGGCGATAGCGGAGGAGCAGGCGACAAAGAAGAAGAAGTTATAAGAAGAGATGATGAGATTACAGAAGGAGGAGATGTTTAAGTTACAGCAGGAAGAGGAAGAGAAGAGGAAGGCTGCCGAAGAAGAAGAAGCAAAAGAAGAA